TTAACCTGCATGGTGAATTTATTAAACATAGAATTACACTATTACTAATTTGCATCATTGATGGATGGATTACTTACCAAATATATTTTGGCTTTAATTTATTTGGAGGGAGGATTAATTTCAATTTGAATTCAAGTACTAAAACTGTAATGGCTATCGTCTAGAACACAGGTCGGCAACCTGCGGCTCCGGAGCCGCATGCGGCTCTTTGAGCCTTCCCCTGTGGCTCCCAGCCTCCTCTGCCTTTGCAGAGAGAGACAGAGACAGAGAGAGGCAATTGCACTTCCCTGCTTCTCTCTCTCTCTCTTTCTGTGTGTGTTTTGTGTGTGTGTGTGTGTGTGTGTGTGTAAAAAAGAGAGTGCACTCAGTGTTCTCCGAGAAGCTGAAAAGCTTTCTGGGCGGAGCTCCTCCCTTTGCTGCGTCTCTGCAGGAAGCAGGAAGGGCAGGAGAGAGCTAGCTAGCCCAGCTAGGCTGACTCAGGAATTCTGGGAGTTGAAGTCCATGAGTCATAAAAGAGACGAGGTTGCTTACCCCTGAGATTGTTGGAGAACAACTTGAAGGTTGCCAGGTGAGCAGCAGATAGGAGGGGGGGGGAGAAAGAGAGAGAGAGAGAAAGAGAGAGAGGGGGGGGAGGGGGAGAGAGAGAGAGGAAAGAGAGAGAAAGAAAGAGAGTGGGGGAAGAGGAGTGGCAGACCAAGGGCAGAGAGGGAGGGAGGGAGAGAGACAGACAGAGAGAGACTCTTTTGACATCTAAACTGAAGATAACACTGCATATATCCTTTTTTACCTTTGTGTGTATGTAATTTTATTCTCTTAAAGCATTCTCTTGGTGATCATTGTTTTAATAGTATGGATATTCCCAAGAGTCATATTTTTACTTTTATTTTTAATGTGTGTGTGTATTTGTGTGTGTATATACACACACACACAAACTCTCTCTCTCTCTCTCTCTCTCTCACACACACACACACACACACACACAAAAAAAAAACACCTATAATAAAGATAAAAAAGGATATATGCAGTGTTATCTTCATTTTAGATATCAAAAGGGTTTTGCGGCTCCCAGTGTTTTGTTTTTGGTGGGAAACGGGTTCAAGTGGCTCTTTGAGTGTTTTGGGTTGCCTACCCCTGGTCTAGAATATGACTTTTGACAAGAAATGAATATATGGGGAGCAAATAAAAAACCAAGTGATTTCTGTAGGGAAACTCTCTTGTGTCTGATCCATCTCCATCCCCTTGCACATGGGAGATATTGGAGAAAAACACCAACCTGTTTTTGTAAAACCAGGCCATTGTTTTCAGTATATATTCCCCATTGTATGCCTTCTTACTCTCTTGTAATCCCTTCCTCTTCAATGAATGTAAATACAAACATTAATTAGTTAATTGAGAGCCAGTTTGGTCAAGTGGTTAAGGTGTTAGCCTAGAAACCAGGAGACTGAATTCTAGTCCTGCCTTCGGGATGAAAGATGGCTGGGTGAACTTGAATCAGCCATTCTCTCTTATCATAACCCACTTCCCAGAGTTGTTATGGGGAAAATAGGAGGAGAATTATGTATGTTTGCCACCTTGAATTATTTATAATGGCTGGGTTCAAAATCTAATAGATAAATAACTATTTCCCTTTTTGTTAATTATCCTAGTGCCAGGGTGAACATTCCAAAAGGTAAGGAAGTGGTCAGGAGGCAAACAAAAACAGAAGGTATGAAATTAAATAGTCTTGTCAGTTTTGAGGCAGAAAACACAGTTGTGGTCATATGATTTCCCACTGAGTAACCACTTTGTTTAGGAATGGATTTGCTGGTCCTAACTGTGGTTGCTATACAAGGACTACCTGCATGTGGGAGTGGGGGAATATAGCAAATTACTTTCCAACTTTTGGGCCGTTTTCAGGACACCAAATGGGTTAATAATTGAGAGCTGAATGATCTGATGGAATGTCTTTAATTGAAGTGTTGAAAGTTCATATTCTGTTTTAGGAAGGAAATCCTATGATTTCTGATGTGTGAGCCTAATAAATTTTAGTGATAGAATAGAAGCTTCTTATTTATTATGTGGAATATTTATCTTTCCTCTAGAACAGGGGTAGGCAACCTTGGCTCTTTTATGACTCGTGGACTTCAATTCCTGAGCCAGCCATGCTGATCTTGTACAATATACACCTACTTCCCTCTCTTTTTCTTGCTACCTTCCACTCTTAAAGAAAAACTGTGCCCAGTTTGAACATTGCTATTGTAATTACTTACAGGTTGATGGAAAAAAACCAAAGGAAAAAAATAAATCACAAAGACATAAATATCAATACTTTGTCTACATCAAGGACATGATCAGAGCAAGTTGGCAAGAAAAGATGTTAAAAAATATTTGCCAAATAAAAATTAAATTCCGCCAGATACTGAAAACTCACTAGAAAATGAGAAATTAATATTGAGAGAAATGTCTGTTCAACTTCTCCAAGATCCATTTGAAAGAATTATTGCCAACTGCAGTCTTCCACATGTGTAGGGACAGCAGTTTCCAGAATTGCTAGTCAGTATTGGAGGTTACAAAGATAGGAAAGGTTAACAAGTGAACTTTCACATTGGCTATGAATTGGCAGGAACCTACTGTTTAAATGCAGAATGCAGAATACAGAATAATAGAATTGGAAGAGATCTTGGAGGTCCTCTAGTCCAACCCCCTGCTCAAACAGGAGACCTTATACCATTCTAGACAAATGGCTGCCCATTCTCTTGTTGAAAACCTCCAGTGACGGAGCACCCACATCTTCTGCAGGCAAGCCGTTCCACTGATGTTCTCATTGTCAGAAAATTTCTTAATTTTAGGTTGCCACATGATGTGATAGCATAAGGCATGATGGCGAACCTATGGCACGCGTGCCAGAGGCAGCACTCAGGCCCTCTCTGTGACACGCTTTCCGTGCCCCAGAGATGGCGAGGGACTGGCCCCCGCCGCCCTGGCCCTGCCCACCCAGTCTGCCTTGACCACCGCAGCCACATCCACCCGGCACCCAGTGATAAATAAGTGGGTTTTGGGTTGCAGTTTAGGTACTGGGTCTCTAAAAAGTTCGCCATCCTTGGCATAAGGCAGTGTTTCCCAAACTTGACAATTTTAAGGCATGAGGACTTCAACTCCCAGAATTCCACAGCCAGCAACGCTGGCTGTGGAATTCTGGGAGTTGAAGTCCACATGCCTTAAAATTGTCAAGTTTGAGAAACACTGGCATAAGGCATAAGGAAAAGAAAAATGTTAAAGTCAGAAAGAGATTCCCTAAAATTAATGGGCAATAAGAACAGCCCAAATAATATTTCCAAATTTTTCTTGACTGTAGCCTGGGACTTTACGTTTATATTGTGCGTAACTAAAAATATAAAATTCACTCAGTAACTTTTTTTTTGTTTTTACAAAAAAAAAGTTACTGAGTGAATTTTATATTTTTAGTTACACACAATATAGATTATATTTGTGTGAGTCGGCAAGTATTGCCGGAATCGGAATGACATTTTTAGCATAGAAGTTTCATGTGAGAAAATCACCCAAGAATATTTGCTTATTTGTTTATTACATTTTTGTCCTGCTTTTATATTTTACCATATCAGAGCAAATAAGTGAAAAACCAGGATTTGAGGTTTAACATTCTTCGAATATTAGACCTATATTTTAATCTTATTTTACTAAGGTAAATGTGAAGTGAACTGAAATATGATTCTGATTTTGTATCCAGAGTTAATAAGATGAAGTAAAATATAGTTATCTCATTTTCATGTTTGGGAAGATCGTGGTCTAAAAGGTATCCATGAGAGAACCATTGAGGAAGCTTATTATTACCTTAATGATTTCTTATTAAATCAATACAATGGTGTCTGTATCGGTCTTATTTTTAATTACATACTGCACATTGTATTGTTTCTTTGTTTTCTGGTGAAGATTGTCCTTATACAATATCGCAAATATTGTACAAGGCCAATTTCTTGAATTCTTCACATTCCACCTATTGAGATAACCCTCACAAAGCCCCATAGGCAATGGCAAACAAATAGCAATTGACACTGCAAGAGGGCAAGACTTACTCTGTGGGAAGGGGAAGAACTGTGATCAATGGTGCTGCTGTTTCAGAAATCTTCCATTCTTACTATGGAAACAGTATAGCCATTGTCCATGCTGTGCCAAGCTTCCAACTGCTCCACATGATGTGTTTTCAGACTTCTGTTTTCCAAGGCTTCCAAGTTAGACTCCATATCCAAGTGATGGGTATCCTGCTAATGTGGATGGGGTTGGCAAATGACAAGGATTTAGTTCTATCTAGCCTATGTATACAACCATAAAGTTGGATTTGCTTGGTTGGAGAAAGTTAAGATTCATATTTAGGTATTGACTCTATGGAGGCAGGCAAAATTTCTTTGCTAAGCGAAACAATTGTTAAGTATGTTTTGACCCATTTTACAACTTTTCTTGCCACAGTTAAGTGAATCACTTAGTAGTAACACAGTTGTAAAGTGAACCTGGCTGTCCCATTGACTTTGCTTGTAAAGGTGATCAGTGTCCCTGGGACATTGCAATTGTCATAAAAATGAATCAGTTGCCAAGCATCTAAATTATGATCACATGACCATAGGGATGCCATAAGAAGCAAAAGTTGGGGTGAATCATGATCTGTCTTTCTGCAGAAAATGTTATAAAATGAGGAAGGCGTTGTGCCATTCTTTATCAGGTCCACATGAAAGACCAGATCTACATATGAAGGTTCAATTAAGCTGATTTATTGCTAAAAATGTATGCACAGGAATCTTCTCAAATAACAATCAGTATCTAGTTAGAGTTAGAGGATCAACAGCATTCAAGGGGTGTTGGAATTTGTGGTTGTGTAGGGATTCTAAGCTGATCCCTCTTTTGGCCCCTCCCCTGGCTCTGCCAGTCATACATTCTTACTGTAGAGCTATTGGTAATTGCTCCCTGTTGTTATCCTGTGCATGATGGTGGCCTTTTCTCTTTTGCAGTTGCTGGGGGCAGCTTTCCTAGCCATTGGTTTGTGGGCTTGGGCAGAAAAGGTAAGTATGGCCAGGAAGGGAATGTTTTTCTGGCTGCTGTATCTAAACCCATCTTGGTATCCAGGTAATAAATTGTTCTAGTATGGGTATATGAACCATACCTGTATTATGTGAATTGGACAAATTATTCACATATATTATTGTCTGAGCCCTTTGTGGGATATCACTGTCCTGCTGGTTCCTTACACTGAATTGATTGAAATTTCTTTTAGCTTTACTTATTTTTTAAAAAACACATAGCTGTTAACATTTATTAACTTTTATTTTACTTATTTTATGAAAATAATAGTTAACACTCAAGTTTGGAATAAAAAGTATATCTATATCTATATCTATCTATCTCAGTGGTTCTCAGCCTGTGGGTCGGGACCCCATTTGGGGTCGAACGACCATTTCACGGGGGTCGCCAAACAACGCAGTCCACCATTTTTCCCCCTTTTCCTTAGCTGTGCTACTCCCTTTTATTGGCTTTTGAAAGCCAATAGAATAGACTCTATTCAAGAGAGTCTATTCTATTGGCTTTCAAAAGCCAATAGGAATTGTCCAGGCTGTCTCTGCCCTACTGAGCCTGCCAAAAGTCCCATTCTGCAACCGGTGCTGCACCAGTTGAGTAGTCCTCGACTTACAACCGGTTGAGTAGTCCTCGACTTACGACCGGTTGGAGTTGCGGCATTAAAAAGATTGAGAACCACTGATCTATCTAGAGTTATATAGATCATGAAATATATAGATATAGATATTCAGGAAGTTTTTCAGACCTTGACATTTTTTAACTGCTATACTGCAGTTTTACTTTTTACAATCTCTTTTGTCTTGCAGCCCCCCAACTAGGGGTGTTAAGCAGGCTCAAGTCGCAACTGCGAAACATTACAAATCCAAATTTCTTTTTCTGACAATATATAGATATAGATATATATAAAACAGTGGTTCTCAACCTGTGGGTCGGGACCCCATTTGGGGTCGAACGACCATTTCACAGGGGTCGCCAAACAAGGCTGTCCGCCATTTTTTCCCCCTTTCCTTTGGCCACGCCCCTGGCACCCGGTGATGTATCAGTGGTTGGGGGTCACCACAACATGGGGAACTGTATTATGGGGTCGCGGCATTAGAAAGGTTGAGAACCACTGATATAAAATAACTCATGATCTATATAACTCTAGATATGCAATTTTTTTTTCACTCAAGGACTACATTTGATTTTATAGTGAAATGCTGTGGACCAGCCTCCAGAAAATAGTGGGTGGTTCCAGGAAAATGTTCAAGTTTTACTTAAATTCAATAAAAATATGCATAATTAATTCAGTAGACAGTTACATGTAGGCATTGGAATTTGCTAATCATTTTTTGGAATTTTACTCGGAAGCTTTCAGTCTGCATGCAACCTGGGGACTTGGCTAAAAATGCACATTTAAATGAAATGTGTAGATTGTGTTACTGGACTCAAATAATGAGTCCTTCTGGTCCAACATTATTAACAATTAGCCAGCTAAGTGTCCATGAGGAGCTAAAGAGCAAATTCTTTTGAATATAAGAAGCTTTTGGCTGTTTTTTATATACTTGTTTTTTAGAGGTTTACTATCTCTGTACATGTAAATGTCATCCAGCTGCCAATTTTATTTTCCCATCCTCCATGTTTGTTCAGTCATTTTTATAGCTAAGAATGAGCCTAGAACCCAATGAACTGTGCTGAGTCAGGTCTCTGAGAACATGTGCTGAGCAATAGCTGGTGAGCCTCATCATGTTATATCTTTGTCTCCAATCATCTTCACATACTACCAGCATACTCTGATTTTCTGAAACCAGATATAAAATAACATTTATGTACACACTCCCTCCTCCATCCCTGACCATATTTATTTCGTTAAAAAGCAGTTGTAGGTTGTAATCACCAGAATGATTTCCTATTGAGAATGGCTCACCTTCCCATTTGCCCCCAGCAGGGCTGGTTGCTGCAGTTTTCATGACAAACAGCAGCTGGGAGGTGGAGGAGTTTCATTTGGAAACTGGCACTGAGCCCAGATTGGAAGGATATTTTAGTCTGTTTATTTACTTATTTACAGAAAAGTATATACTGTTCCGCTCATAGTACTCCAGGTGGATTACATACCGTAATTTAAAAAGTCGTATTAAAATAAAACTGTGGCACAATGACCATGTGCTGCTCCTCTCCCCAAATAGCTGCCCAATCATTAAAACATCCTAAAAGAAACTAAAATCAATCATCAAATACCCAATTACCACCTTGCAAGATGTCACTGAAGAGGATGCGAGGTGTAGCGCAGGTGTACCACTATCTTTGGCTTCATGTCCTTGTCATCTGATGCAGAGAAGGGAACCCTTGGTGGAGGTGGAGCCTGAGGATATCCTGGAGCCAAAATCATGCAGTTTTATAGAACAAAATCAGCCCTTTAAATTAAAATCATAAAACTGTCGGTAACCACTGCAGCAACAAAGAATGGGAGGTTTTTACCTGCTAGAATTCTGACTGGTTAAAAGCGGCCTGCTTAAAACCTGTGTTTAGCTGTGTACATAATAAAAAAAAACCAGCTTATTTTCTTTTACCCACCTGTTCACTTTTTCTTTCTCATCACTTTGTTTTCATATATACCATTTAAATATTCATTTGTAATGTAAATAACAAATGTGGGAGAATACATGTGTGTTTTAAAAACTATGCAAATTCTTCTGGGTAAGCTAAGGTTTGAGGGGTCCTTGGTGCTCTCTGAGCTTGCGTGTTTTCTTGTTTCATTACCCAAACTAGATAAGATCATCAGTCCTAGTCTAAGCTAAGGTTAATTCCCTTTCTGCCTTTGTGATTAATGTACCATTTCCTTCCCCAACCAATCTGTAGAGCCGGAAATTATTCTCAGAATTTCCAGTCAGGAATCTTCATTCATTTGAAGGGGACCAAGATGGGGAAGGCTGGTATAAATATATAGTTTACCCTTCACACACCATCAGGCAGTTGGTACAGTAACTATTGTGTACATAATCTCAGGAGTGGAAATTCTATGTCATTGGGATTTTTTTTCATCAGTATAAAGGAAAACTGAGGGAATTTGGCTGTGGTGTGAACTTCAGCTCTGTTTTTTTTTTTCTTTCTTTCTCTATCCCTATCCAGGGCGTGCTTTCCAATCTATCATCCATCACAGACCTCGGTGGCTTTGACCCAGTCTGGCTTTTCCTCGTGGTTGGAGGGGTGATGTTCGTGCTGGGTTTTGCTGGCTGTATTGGGGCACTGAGGGAGAATACATTCCTACTCAAATTTGTATGTCTTTTTCTCTTCTTGTTTTTTTCCCCTTGTTGGTAATGTAAGCTGGGCTTCTGTGGATTAAATCATGACTTGACCAAGAACTCCCAAGGTGACATTGGCAAGCAGTTCTTTTTTCTACTCTTAGTCCACTTCATTTTCAGGAGAAAATGGCCATATTGGCGTATATTACAGGATTATGAAGATAATTCACATGTAGCCCTTTGAGTACTTACAAAACATACTGTGATAATTCTTGGTGTAGCATTATTCTGACACTGGACTTTGGAAACTAGGCAAGGACTTAGAAAGCTTTGTGTAGTCTTTGCTGTATGAAGAGCATAATAGAAATTGAGTTTTATTTTGGCACTGGAAGGAAAACAAGACATAATCTTTGAATTGATGTGTTATGCAGGAAAGTTATATTTATCTTTTAGAAATGGATAGAATAAATAAGTCTGAACAAGGGGCATAATACAAGTTGAAATAGCATTAGGAGAATAATACAAATGTTATTGGTGGATATTATATTTTTCCTAAAAGATCTGAAGAAAAATAAAGTATTAACTCAATTTCCTTCTATTACCATGGCAGGAAAACAATATAGAGCTATAAAGCCATATAGCCAGAATTAAATTTTAAAAAATAGCTTACTATCTTAAAAATTAACTAGCAACACAACATTTGTTTTATTTTGTCCTTCAGTGCATCAGCTATCCTGTGACAAAATATTAAGCAAAGCTTCCTTTCCTGTGACTTGTGCTTATCTAGTCAATGTGAGAGTGAGCCTTACCCTGAAGCAGGATATTATACTCCCATACTGATGGGAGATCTTTTGGCTTTGCACACTAATGATGTACCTCTCTTTTGGCACCAGTTCTCTGTGTTCCTGGGGCTCATCTTTTTCCTGGAGCTGACAGCTGGTGTCCTGGCCTTCATCTTCAAGGGCTGGATCAAGGATCAGCTCAACTTCTTTATTAACAATAACGTCAAGGCATATCGCGATGATATAGACCTCCAGAACCTCATAGACTTTGCTCAGGAATATGTGAGTTACGGAAATTACCTAAAGCAATATGTCCATTTGTAATGTTTGTATATGTAGGGTCAGGGGTCCCCGACCCCCAGTCCATGGACTGGTACCCGGCCGCAGTATGCCAGCAACTGGTCCGCACAAACAAGCAAAGCCCAATCCATGGGATGCAGGCAGCACACCAAACACACATTCTCCGGTCTGCGGAAAAACCTTTCTCCACGGAACCAGTCCCTGGTGCCCAAAAGGTTGGGGACCTCTGTGTTAGGTGATAGGGAGTTTGTTTGGAAAAATGTAACATGACAGCTTTTGAAACATTAACTAGTCTCCAATAAACCTTTGCTGTCACTTGCCCTGGATTTATAAAACTACCCCTAAAAATCTCTTCCTGTTATATGCACATATATACATATACGTTTGGTCTCTATCCTTTGAGGGAATATTCCCCCAGAGATTCAATTTCCACTTCTCACTCATGTTTAGATATAGCAGTTATCATCTGTATAAATTATTGTGTAAAGTTTCCATATAGAAATGCAGGAGACAGTTACTGTTACTTGCTTTAAGCCCAATTTCTGGTGTGTTTTTTCAAACATTATCCTGTTCTAAAGTACAGGAGGTATTTCAATAGATTATAAATTCTTCTGGATTATGTTCCTTATTTTAAACATGCTACAATAATGGGGACTACATAGTTATGTAGATGAGAAGGGAGAATTCCAGGGCTGCATTAAATCCCTTGTAGGCGCAGGAACATTTATTTTCATAGGTCCTTGTTGTGGTAATAATCCAAATGCTTAGCATTAAAGATATATTTCCTGAAGCTACATTCTTCCGTAAGTCACAAGGGATAAGACACACTAGGTATCTGCATAATAAAGTAGGAATAATGTATTAAATACATTAAACTTTCAGATGTATGATTTTTGACTTTACTGTCACTTTCCTATTTTGAGATTTTCTTTTTAACTTGAAGTAGTTTCATGGGGTTTTGAAGGTCTTAGGCAAGACCTATTGTCCTCACTCGATAATATGCACACGGACAATTTAGTTGAAAGTATCCTTTTATATCATCCATTTTTTTATTTCTTAATTTGAGAAAAGTTTGTTTGTTAAGCATTAAGCAACTTTACTTTCATAGTCTTTTTTACCTAGGGAAAGGTGAGCAAAAATGTGTTTTGGTGTTAATTATATAATCAACAATATTTTAAAAAATAACAACATGATGCTAAAATGATCTTGATCAGAAAGGCAAGATGTTGTTTAATCAGTGTTTAAAACGGTGTTAAAATGCTTTTCTCTTCAAGTGCTTTTGCATTAATATCTGTATAATTTTTGAGAATGACAAAACCATGTTCTAGTGCAAATTGAAACATAAATTAAAAAATAAGTGAAAATCACTGCTAACATGGCAATAACAAAGTATACACCACAATTTATCCACTCAGTATGCAGGTATGTGTGTGTGTGTGTGTGTGTGCTTATTGCACACTCAACATTTACTCTGAATAAATGATCCTAATGTCTTTTTTTCGGTCACTTTTCAGTCCTCAAAGGGCAAAGCAAATAGAGATCGAATGCATATATCAGAAATTGGGTAATAGTACTGTGTACTGTAATATCTCATAAAAAGTCCTATTTAAGAATAATGATTTTTATGTATTCAGTGAGATATTGGATATATCTTCACCACTTTGTTTCAATATATTGTGATCGATCTTTCCTGATACCATTCTTGAATCATTTGAATACATGTGTTTCAGTTTTATAATTTGAACTGAAATACCTTTTCTTTCTACATTATTATTTTTTAAGAAATGTAATTGCACTATTTACACAATGTAATTTAATGTTTATAGCCTTAAAAAGCCAATACATCAGCATGAATTTCGCAATGGGGTTTTTGGGGAGGTCAAATTCTTTTCACTAGTAATAAAATGCTTTCCAGAACTTCTTTTAAAAAGCTATAAAGGTAAAACACGAGATTTTGCACAAGAAATTTAAGATTAAAAATGATGAAAATAGATTTTTTAAAATCCTGCACAGACCTTTCCCTCTTTCATTTACTAGACTTTGTCAGAAATACTCGTAATAGAAAGGGCTTGCTGAAAGCAACACAGTATATTACTTCAGGTGAACCAGATGCTTTCTTGAAGATAAGACAGAAGAGTAATTTTAGGCATGTTGTTTCTCACGTGCATCAGGTTATCGTTGTATAAAAGAGAGGGAAGAACAATAGAGTAAAACAGAGGCCCTCTGTTCTGTCTCAGCCTACTTGAGCTCCTTGTTAAATCACAAGGAGAAACCCCTCTTCCAACAAGCAGGCTGGAACCAACGTAAAAACAAACCCCTTTTATTATTATTTACAGACCTGAAAAATGTCCAAAGGCAAAGACAAACACAATGGAATGAAACCTGATCTCTTCCAAACAGTTGCCTTCAGCAACCAGTACCTCCCATACCTTCCCTTTTATTATGCAGCCCAAGACGTGGCTTCCTAATGCCTTCTCCTTTGCCTTTGGAGCCGCCCCATTGCCTTCCTCTGTTCAACTCTTGTTGCCTGTCGGCATTTATGAGCATCCATGATGTCTTCCAGCTGGGAGTCCTCACAGTCTGACTCAGCCTCCCAGCACAGCTGTGTCTCAGCCTGAGCACGAGTCGAGGGGCCAGGCTCCTCATTAGACTGTAAGTCTTGGAGCTCATCAGAGCCTTCCTCTGACTCTGACGGCACTCCAGGACCCTCCTCTTCCTCCTCTGATTCCCCAGACACAGCTGCTGGGTCCACTGGCTGACGAGGAATCACAACACCCCCAACCTTTTAGGCACCAGGCACCTGTTCTGTAGGGAGAGGTTTTTCCATGGATCAGAGGGGGCGTGGTTTTATATGCTGCCTGCATCCCATGGATGGAGCTTCAGTTGTTTGCGCGGCCTGGTTTCTGGCATTCCCTGGCCTGGTGCTGGTCCACGGACTGGGGGTTGGGGACATCTGGGGTAAAATATAGGAGAGCAGCAATTTGAAACGCATTATTGCAGATGAACCTCACCAAGTGAGTTAACAGTGCAGAGCAAATAATGAGTGTGGAAGTTCTGTTCCTTGTTGGGACTCATCATTAGACAATTAAAAGGTGTGAAAGCCACTCCAGAGGTGAACCTGCCATCTCATGGCTGATAATGAACCTGCAACATTGCAAAATTGCTTCCTGCATTAAACCTTACACATTTCTCCATCTCCTGTTTTTATTTTCCAAATATCCACACTTGTCAAAGTTCATTCATTCTTTTTGCTTGGTACTACAGAGTGCTGCGGTTTTCTGAGCACTCCTCCGAGTGGTAACCCTGTCTCCCTCTGCAGTGGTCGTGCTGTGGGGCTCATGGACCTAATGACTGGAATCTCAACATTTATTTCAACTGCACTGACTCCAACCCCAGCAGGGAGCGTTGTGGGGTACCTTTTTCCTGCTGTGTCAAGGATCCTGCGGTAAGGAGTTGAAATACAGAAATAAGTGAGATGGATTCTCACTTTGCTCATCCCCTGTAGACCTAAATAATGTCTGAACAGCTTTTTTAAGGTCCTCGTATTAACATAGGAATCTAATTGTGTGAATTGTTAGGAAAATAGTATGTAGATTAAATGCAGCCTTATCCCTAATGATAATTTTAATTTGGAGAACAAGTGTGGTGCAGAGATTAAGCTGTTGGACTAGGAGCATGGAAACCCAGGCTGTAGATAAGGGGGTAGCAGTATGTATGCTGCTTTGAGCGCCTGTTGGAAAAGGTGGGATATAAATTTAAAACAGAAATAAATAAAAAAAAAACGAGTGTCAGCTATATATTTGTCATTTCATGGAATTCCTTCACCACGATAGGATAGAATGGAGGTGGAAAAGAGGAGAATAGCTAAAGTTGAAAGTAGAAGTTGCAAATTATTTGGAAAGGTGTGGAATAAAAAAGCAAATGCTGAAGATATTTAGGGGAGAAGCAGTGAGTTTCTCTTCTGGGTTCCCAGAATGATTTCAATTGGTTTTATGTCTATTCTTTTGACAGGAGGACGTTCTCAATACCCAGTGTGGCTATGATGTCCGCCTTAAACTGGTGAGGGTCAAGTTTGTGCAGTGGGGAATCTGTAGTGCAAAGAACAAGGTGGGCTGTCTTGTCTGGAAAAAAAGGTAGGGCTGGGATAAGCATGAAAGAATGGTCTGAATTTAGAGCAAGAGCACAGATTCTGAAAAGGGTCTGCGTGGGAGTATTAGAATGCCACTGATTGCAACAGAGCACATGCATTTGGCCATACGTTCAAGGGAAAGCCCTTAATTAGGCTACAAAATAAATCTGCATTTTCTGAATTTGGGCTGAGGGGAGGTGATTACTGCAGCTTGTCCTGCTTTTAAGGCTCTCTGGGTGCTCTTCTGTACCTTTTTTTTTTGCAGGAGCTGGAGCAGCAGAGCTTCATTCATACTAAAGGATGTGCTGGTCAATTTGAGAAATGGCTCCAGGACAATCTCATTGTAGTGGCAGGGACCTTTGTAGGTGTGGCACTTCTACAGGTAGGAGCTTCCATGTAACTGAGAATTCCTTCTTCAAGTAGCCCCTATGTGGAAATTCCATCCATCCACCCTTCCTTGATATGCAACTTTCCTGGGACCCTAGGCTGCAATTTCATCCATTGACCAGGAGAATGGCCAGAAGTTATCAAATATACAATGATATTACAGAAGGGGAAAGGATTAGTTTTGGGTGAGAGTAGGAAGTTTTTAGGTAGTAAATTGTTTCCATTGTTGTTTTTATGAACCTTCAATTTCCCCCAACCTCAAAATGATACTACTACCATACTATGGTGCCTAAGTTTGATAACTAGTTTTATCCTATCTAGAGCACTTTGTTGTTGTTAGTTGCAAAGTCGTGTCCGACCCACTGCAACCCCATGGACAATGTTCCTCCAGGCCTTCCTGTCCTCTACCATCTTCTGGAGTCCATTTAAGCTCACTCCTACTGCTTCAGTGACTCCATCCAGCCACCTCATTCTCTGTCCCCTTCTTCTATTGCCCTCAATCTTTCCCAGCATTAGGCTCTTCTCCAGTGAGTCCTTCCTTCTCATTAGGTGGCCTTTACTGGAGGATTAACTCTGTTCTCTTGCCACATACTCTGACAAAGCAGGTACTTAATCCAAATGAAATTCTATTGCACATATGTTTGGGGTGGATGTAATTATTTTTTTCATTGTTAGAAGGTTATTACTTTCTTACGATACCCCATTGCAATCAGGTATGGACAAGACCAGTTTTTGAGAAAAGACAGTTGCATAATTTTTATGTTCCACCCAGGTTATAATAGTGAATGCATAATACTAATGAAAATAGTAGTAATAGTAGTACTAGTATATTTTTTTTCCCTCTCTTTCCATCAGTTTAACATGGGAAACACATCTAATTCTCCTGCCTACTATTTGTTTCAGAGTTAGCTTTGTGATGGCAGTGAGATTAGATCTGGATACCTGTCAGTCATGAGTCTTGCAAGATGGTTCATTTCATAGGAATATATTGATAAAGAAACTGGAAAGAATTGCAAAAGCTGCTTTTCAGTGGATAGCTAATAGTTGTATTAATTGCACATGCATAAATGTGACTTCATCTTATAGCCTATTTGTGTTTGGGTGCAATCAAAAGTAGGGAACTTCAAAGTAAACAAAATGGAGAGGATATCTGCATTCGTACATCTTTGTTCTATTCAGGTGACTGATCCATTCATTCCAATTGGATTACGAAGGAAAAAATCCTTGTTGAAGTCTAACCTATAATAACTAGGGGTACAGGTGCAGTAGATTACATTTCTATAATCATTAGGTTACAGGAAAAGAAACTTGAGTCCACATATTGAGGCTGCCTTTCTATAGCTTTGAGATGGGATGTTGCCTTTTCACTGGCAGGGCAAAGCTGACCAGGCCTTTCTGTCACTTATCCTGGAGTAATAATGATTTGAGTGCTCTGAGCATGACAGTGAAATCAATAGCTTCATGCTGCAGCATTTCATCATTCAGAGGTGTTAAGACTTCATTCCCCCAAACTTTCTGGCTGGAGGTTCTAGAACTGCAAATACTTCTGGAAGATTAGGAAGGTTGGTGTATTGGTTATATGTGTGCACAATAACAAGCATTTCACAAGCATGTCTTCAATTTGTATTTCAGATATTTGGTATCTGCCTGGCACAGAACCTAGTGAGTGACATCAATGCTGTGAAAGCCAATTGGTGACACCAGAATAGAGATTTTGCTGTTTCCTACAGATTCCCAGATTCTCCTGAAGGACTGAAGCCTTCAAGCCACAATCACTGAGTGCTGCTAAACCATCAACAAGCTCCGATTGGGGGTTGAGTGGGGGTCACCAGAATTAATAACTGCCTGATGCCCTTCCATAGCTTTCTGTTCCTGACTGGGGCACATGTGTCATGTAAATAGTATTTATGTCAGGCTTCTGAAGGGTCCTTTGACCCACTGCAAAAACTGCAGAGTTAGAAGCATCTCATGCATATAGCCAAGAAACAGCTCTGGATTTTGTTGAGGAGGCCCCTATTGGTGAGTTAGCACGGCTCATGTGGTTTCCACTGAGGAAGCTAATGGAACGTTCTAATCCTGCTGCCTGGAGCAGCTTCACACTTGTACTCTGTCCTAAACTCCTACTTGAATTCTCTATACTCTACTCCCTGTCTGCTCTGCTCTCCTACTTACCAGGGAGATTAAATTAGGGATTAACTCAAGACTGAGTTCCCTTGTTCAAATTAGAGTTACATCTTGTCAAATTAGAGTTACATCTTATTTTGTGGATCATACTGTTGGTTTCTGCTATTGTCCTAAGAGGTCAGAAACAAGCTGTCAGGAAGATGCTGTCATATCTCATTTGTGGCAGAAATCTTCACCCTTGATTTTTAAGGCTTCAATTCTGGCAGATGTGCATTCCAGTGGGAATAAAATGTGCCAGACAGAACCAAGCAGGTCAATTCAATCCAATCCACCAAGAGTTAAACCAATGGCAAACTAAAAATATTCTCGGATAGTTTAGAAAAACATGACACTGTAACAGAAATAATCTATTCCGAGAATTTGATTGCACCGGTTTGTACTTTGTAGAATCTTACAAGTTACTTTAACTTAAAAGATAAATTTGGATATGTCTAATCAGCCCATTATTTGTGTGATAAATGTGCAGTCCTTTGTATGCAATATCTATTTCTCTGAAGGACCCACAAAGAGAATTCTAGACCTCTTGAACCAAGTTTTGTCCTTGACTGGACATAATGCAACCTTTTGTTCCAGTAGTTGGCTCATAGCCTTGCAGAGTACTTGTGTTTCATGGAATGGCACAATACTGAGAAAGATTTTGCACTGATACATCTTTCTGCACTGCTACAATGTAGTTTCTACTACTTCCTTTCTTTTTGATAGGAGTTTATCTTAATCTCCCTGGACTCTGTTGCTGGCAGGATTGTTCAAGTATGTTGCCCTCCTCTTCCCCATAAAGTACTTGCTAGCAAATATTTTTCGGGGATATTTTTTACCCTATTGAGCCAGGTTGACAATTCAGTTGAAGTGGACCAATTCGATTTGGGACTAGTTTGTGTCATGGATGTGAATTAGATGCAGTGGTATTCTTCTGAATTTTTAATCTCCCATTTTGTACTGGAACTTTTAGACTCATCTTCAGATGCCCCCAACCATGGCTGAAGCCTACCCCAGTAACTGTTTTTATGTGATTTATCGTTGTGAAGTTGTTTCTGCATAATCGCCAGTGCGTAGCTGAAGCAGCTTAAATTTATCCTTAGTGTTCCAGTTCTAAAACAGGGTTTTCTCCCGTTTTCCCAAGACAGTTTTTGCTACAACAGAAACTGGTTCACTTCAAATGTGGTTGCTGATGTTGTCAGGAAGGAGATCGGTCCAGCTTCTACCTGCTTCCTTCCTTCTGGTTGCTAGGAATTGCCTTCCATACCATTTTAGCTGGTGCAGGAGGAGCTGGGCATCTGCAGAGATACGTGAATGCACAATGCCCAACAGGTCCTTTTCTATGGTGCTGATCTGGTTTTACGTAGGATCGTTTGCACCCAAGTCTAGAGCTTTTGAAAGAACTAGACTTGTGTTTGGAAAATGGGACTAGTATCTTCATGAGAAAGTGCTGGATCTGCATTGTACCAAAGGTCATTTAAACTGGGAAAGAATGGGATTCAGCCCTCTGGGTATTGCTGGTTTATTCAGCAAATGAGCGCATTATATGCTTTCTGTTGCATTTGTACACAAACTGCACTGCTTCCTCTCCACAAACTTAGTAGAATTTTCAGTCTTTGGTGGGAAGGAGACAGTAGTGTTGTTTGTGTTAGTGTCCTTTTCTGCCAGGCCAGGGATTTGCAGATTGAACTGATTTGCAGATTGTGGCTGTGCTCTAAAACCACTGCATGCTTTGACTGCAGTGGCGGCTTTTCTCCACGTGAGGATGCTCTTGGCTAGCATTCCTCCGCTTAGAGTTTTACCTGAAAGGAAGACTTTCCCCCAAACAATGTCCCTTCTAAATGTGGCAGATTCACTGAGTATTTGAAACAGATGACGTCTAATCTTTTCTGAGATGTGCGCTACAATTCAGGGTCACCTTTTTGTTAGAACTGCCCATGAGGTTCTGCTTCTGGGGTTTGTTTTTTCTGTTGAACTGTGGGGAGATGCACCCTATGAGGATGGCTGTGACTGCATGCATGCATGCGAGGAGGGAGGGTGGTGGAAGGAGAAGGCTTAGCGGATTTCCATTTGCCCTGGGTCTCCTGTTTCCTGTCATCTCTGACAGCTGAAACCCGTGGGATAATGTACTTCGCAGTAGCAGCCTTTCCCCACCCACAAAAGAAGAGAAAGCCATTATGAAGCTGTCAACATGTATGAAAATGAAGCCCACTGCATATGCAAAAGTTACAACCTATCTACAATATGTTAATCAGAGACCAAAGGATAACTTGCTAAGCAGATTTACTTTCACGTCTTCCGCACTTGACTGTTGTAAACGTTCTTGGGCTTAGTAATAAGGATGCACATGCAATGAAACTATTCTGCTGCTGCTTCTGTTTTTTTGTTTTTTTCTCTCTTTTAAATCCATTTGCATTTTGCCGGCTTTCTGTCTTCCTGTGTTTGGCTTGCTAGTCTTCTTTTTCTGCTCAACTCTCTCACTTCCTTCATATCCTCTTGCTGCTATTTGTTTTATAGTACAATAGTAAAATTATTATCCCAAATTTGTAAAGAATTTTTAAAACATAAATCCCCTTTTATGACTGTAATGAGTGTTTCGAGTTGGGTGATCAGGCTTCTGCCATTCATGATTTTTGCAAGACTCAGGTTTGTGCATCACTGATCTTAACTGTAGCATTTTTTTAGTTTGAAAATGTTGCCAATCATATATTGGTTTAGTTTTATATATTTCCTTGGCAGAAGAAAGTCCAATTTTTAATTTAAAAATTAGTGTGATTATCTCATACTTTTTTCTACTGTCAAAACTTTTTCTTAAATTTTCTTTTCCATCTGGGCTGCTAAATATTAACAGGTGACAGTTACAAGATTATAAGCAAAATTTCAACTGATTTTATGTTAAACATGTTCAGATAATTTAAAAATAAAACAAACAACTCCCCTGAAATAAAATAACATCTATAGTAGCCGTTCTGCAGTTATGTTTACCAGATGACTTAATCAAGGAAAATTTTATAAGAACAAGATAATTAATTGCAATGGGGAAGTGTTTTTGTTACTGTTGGGGAGTAACAAAAGAAAGTTATTTTGTGTTATCATTTAAAATCAACATTTTTAACAGTATTGGTGTTTATGGACTGGAATGTGCTTGATTGAATGCAAAAGGTGTTGACACTGATGTATTTCTTTTGGATGTAGATTGAAAAAAAACTCAAGTCAAATGCAAATAAAATATAAACAGTCTGGAATAAAGGTTCAGTTGTCATATACCAGTGGTTCTCAACCTATGGGTCGTGACCCCATTTGGGGTCGAACGACCATTTCACGGGGGTCACCAAACAATGCAGTCCGCCATTTCCCCCCCCCCCTTTTCCTTAGCTGTGCTACTCCCTTTTATTCTATTGGCTTTTGAAAGCCAATAGAATAGACTCTCTTGAATAGAGTCTAATTCTATTGGCTTTCAAAAGCCAATAGGAATTGTCCAGGCTGTCTCTGCCCTGCTGAGCCTGCCAAAAGTCCCATTCTGCAAACAGTGTTGCAAGTTGTCCGCAGCAAAGGCGAGCTGTCTGGAAGTTTCCACCCCTCCCTGCTGAGCAACTACTAAAAATGTAAGTAAAAAGAGGGCCAGGGGTGGGAGGTGGGAGGCTGGCAGGCGCAGGGAGGGTTGCTGGCACGAATGGGGCCCGGCGGGTGCCTTACCTCCCTTGGGCTGGGCCAGCTGGTGGCCCAGCCGGTGGTCGGCCTGCTCCATCTTTGCCGCTTGCCAGCTACGCTTTGGCCGGCGCAGGGGGTGGCACAATGCATGCATGGCGCTCCTGGGCAGGGAAAGTCCTCGACTTACGACCGGTTGGGTAGTCCTCGACTTACGACCGGTTGGGTAGTCCTCGACTTACGACCGGTTGAGTAGTCCTCGACTTACGACCGGTTGGGGGTCGCGGCATTAAAAAGGTTAAGAACCACTGTCATATACAAAAAAGTGCAGTTATCTAGGGCAAAATCGGAAGCAGCAATGGGAAGTAATTTACCTGTCTATGTTATAATTGAATGAAATAGACGGTACTATCAATACCTTCTTATATAAAGCCCTCTTTTTACATCTCCACCTAAGAGCAAGCAAAGGTCACTATCATACACTATAAAATACAAGCAAAATTAGGTAAAAAGTAAAAAAGATGAAATAACATAAATACGCATACAAAAATTCCAAGAGTGGAAATTTGGAAGAGTTTTTTCTACCTGGGAAAAAAAGAAACGTGAGAAAATCAGGCATCTGGAAGCCCATCAAGAAAAAATTTCAATTATACTTAGCATCACTTAGACAATATAAATCAATAAGAAATAAATGCTTTTTAATTATTTGAATTCTGCTTAAAGGCAATTGTGAAGCTAAAATGTAATATCTTCTGGTAATATGCAATATCCAGACTGTAAATAGCTGCCTAGTATCGATAACGCATTAATATTTCAGTCCAACATTTCAGGCAGCAGTTAGCACTAAACATATTTTAGAACAAATACCAAACATACGTGCAATTTGTGTCTTGTGCACATGGAGGAGGTAGGTACAGCGTTTGGGGTTACATTATTTCAAAATCCATAAATTTAAGTCCGCAAAAGACTGGGGGATACTCTCTCCAGCCTTATTAATCTGTGAACCTGTTTCTGCAGATAATGGTTTCAGCTGTCATGATTAAACACCAAATGTAGTTTGGTAAAATCATTGAAATGAGGGCACAACATGTCCCTTTGATGAATTACAGCACAGGTGTCCCCAAAGCATGAACTAAATCCAGTGTAGATCAGGTATAGTCTGAAATTTACTAATAGGTCTCTTGATTTGTAAAAAATACTGTTGACTCTCATCTAGTCTTCCTCATACACAAGACTATTTATTTTGGGTTTGGCAGGAATAATGGGGATATTGGCAAGACACCAAATAATGGTGCTTGAGATTCTGTCGATCAGCAGGATAACTGCTATTGCTATATTTAAAGCTCTACAGGGCCTGTAGAGCTTTTTTTCCCTGAGACAGGATGGATGTACTCCAGGTCTCTTCCCTTAAATGTTGCCACCTGGTGGGTTTGCAAAGACACACCTTTTCTGTGGCTGCTTCAAACCTCCCTAGCATCCCCCATCCTCTGAGATTTGAAGGGGCCGCACCCTACTAGGTTTCTGGAAGGCAATGAAGACCTTGTTCTTCACTCAGGCACTGGGTTAGGATAGAAGTGAACCCAACAAAAGTAGAGATCGTGTGATATTGTGGCATGTTGATGGTATATGTGATGCTATTGCAGGGCTTGAGGGTTAGGGTTAGGGGTAATCCTCAATTTACGACCACATCTGAGCCCAAAATTTCTGTTGTTAAGTGAGACATTTGATAAGTGCGTTTTGCCCCATTTTACAACTTTTCTTGCCACCTTTGTTAAGGGAATCAATGCAGGTGTTAAGTTAGGCACACGGTTGTTAAGTGAATCTGGCTTCCCCATTGGCTTTGCTTGTCAGAAAGGCACAAAAGGGAATCATATGAACACATGATAGTGTGTAACCGTAACCGTCATAAAATTTGAGTCAGTTGCCTATCATCTGAATTTTGATCACATGCCATTGGGATGTTGGAAAGGTCCTAAATCTGAAAAATGGTCACTTTTTTCAGTGCCACTATAACTTTGAACAGTCACTAAATGAACTGTATTCTGAACTAATGGAATATTGTGAGAAGTTATCAAGTATATAGTAGATGGTCATATAGGTTTTCTAAATAAGTAAATGGCTTAAACCTGAACTGAACAGAACCATATGTGGTGGGGTGAAAGAAATAGACCACTGCCGGTAAAGATTTTGGAAAGAATTTCGGAAGCCATGCTCTGCACGCGTTTTTGTTCAATAGTTTTTCCAGTGGAATACTGGAAATAAATTTTGTAAAGAAGGGGAAAGACATAAAAATGGAAACTCTTGGAACAGGACCAAATTTGTATATTTGTGTGGGTAGGGAAGCAGCTGTCAAAAAACCCCTACTAGGTTTTGAAAATGGGTCAGATCTGATGGACAGCGGTGGAGAAAAACATTCCAGAAAAAGAAACACCCACCCAAGTGCCTCTCTTTGGGCGAGGCAGTGAAGTGGTAGCATGAAATGCTGCTGACTGGTATATTCTATGCCCTCTCCCATTCACGTATTTATTTTATTTATATGGCCCCTCAGACATGTAACTCTGTCAAGCTACCAATTTACCAGAGGAGAAAGGGGGGGGACCCAAGTCCAAAGAAATGTATAACAAAGATAAACTAGTCCAATACAGAAAGGGGAAAAAATCAAAGGCACCATGTGTATTGGGCTCATCTAACATCCTGACTCCAACATCTGGAGAAAAGCCAGCTGTTAGTGGCCTTCCGGGAGTGCCCCAAGTGTTGGGTCCTCTGAATCTCAGTAGGGAAGCTGAGCAAAAAGTAGACCTGTTTCCTCAATCTGATAAGATGACCCTGCTTAATAGAGGGTGTGTAGAGCATGCCCACCCTGTAGAATGGGCATACACTCCCAGGGATAGATGTTCCAGAAGTAAACTGGTGCTGTGCCATGAAGGGCTTTGTAATGATATGTGAGAAAGACCTTGGGATATGGACAAAGGGATGCTACCAAAGGATCAGGGCAGCATGATCTTCAGCTACATCATTGGAGGGGCAAGAAGCTCAGAGGAGACCTCTCCTAGTTTTTCAGGCAATAAAGGAGATGGGGGAGGAATTGTACTTTGAGACTTGCAAGGTGGATGTTGGCCTGATGGGGCAAACCAGATAAGAATCACAACCAGATGAGCTAACTCTACTTTGTTGTGACGCTACATTGACAGAATCTTATCTGACAATTCCCTTGGTAGTAGCTCTTTACCCAGTCTCCCAAGGCCTTTTCCACATTACATTATCAAATTTCACGAGCACAACCAATACTATAACCCAGCCAAAAGGATCCAGATAATCTGCTTCCAGGTCCAAGCTGTCCACCTACCACCTTCTCAGTAACCTGCCGTAAAATGGAGAAGTTGGATAAAAATTGTCAATGCTATTGGGTCCAAGGAAGGCTTCTTGAGATGACAGACCATTACTACCTTAACTGCAGGTAGAAACATCCCTCTCACAAGTGTTTATTATCACTTGGACCCAAATACATGCCACCTCCTGGCTGGCTTTGATCAACCAGGAGTGATATACAACAGGTGGCAGAACTGGGAGCCCATATACTTAGCAGTAGCTGGCTGGAATTCATCTCAGATAACCTTGCAACGCTATGGCTCAATCACCGCTATAGGATCTGCCCAGATAAGAGTCCATCTCTGTGCAGATGCAAGCTACTTAGTTGAATAGATGCCTGGAGTAGTCCTTGCTGCAACCTTGCAAGGCTCCCTTGGCCCCTGTTTATAGAAGAGAATCTGGTTACCAAAAATAGGATTGCAGTCTGGCTGTCTGTAGACCCCAAAAAGATTCAAAATTAACCAATGGAACAACCTGCCTCCAGAAGCAGTGAATGTTCCAACACTGGAAGTTTTTAAGAAGAGACTGGACAGCCATTTGTCCGAAATGGTGTAGGGTTTCCTGCCTGAGGAGGGGGTTGGACTCGATGACCTCCAAGGTCCCTTCCACCTTTCTTCTTCTTCTTCTTCTTCTTCTTCTTCTTCTTCTTCTTCTTCTTATTCTTCTTCTTCTTCTTCTTCTTCTTCTTCTTCTTCTTCTTCTTCTTCTTCTTCTTCTTCTTCTTCTTCTTATTCTTCTTCTTCTTCTTCTTCTTCTTCTTCTTCTTCTTCTTCTTCTTCTTCTTCTTCTTCTTCTTCTTCTTCTTCTTCTTCTTCTTCTTCTTCTTCTTCTTCTCCTTCTTCTTCTTCTTCTTCTTCATATTTCATCAGAAAAGTCCTAATAAATGCTCGTGCTTGGTTAGAGTAACTCTTTATCTTCCTCTGGTGCTAGAGGGGCTTCCTGTGATATTTCAGCTCCTTAAGCTCCTTGGAAAATTGAGAAGCTCTACAATTATAGAGAATCTGCACAGTAGTGGCCTGATCCAAGGCTGTTGTCACCTACTCATTTCAGGCAATGACTACGGACTAGGCTGGAGTGTGCAACCAAGCTTTGGATATAACTTCTGAAAGTCTATTGGGTCCATCAGTCACCTGGAGCTGTGCAATCAAATCAGTCCTCTTCCCTCTTTTGCACCAAACAGCTTTCAACAATGAATACCAGTTCAGCCCTCTCATTTAAGGCACAGATG